TTTCCACTACAGGATAGCTAGTGACTGGTCCAAGTCAGAGTCAGACCCACAGATGCCTTACAACGTTCAGGTACGCTTTAGAGCCTGTGCCATTCGCTGTCTATAGCATTTTGTTTTAAAATGTCCATTAGTTTCCCTCATACTCTTCAAAATTCATTTATTCACCCACTAGCAGCACACTACATACATAGGGCAGGTTCTATCATACTTGATGCAGAGAACACGCCATTCAGTATACCAAGAAAAAAGCTTTGAGTTTTATAGAGGAATTGTACTAGGAAAGCAATACTTACACCACCATATAGCAGTACTCACAATAAAGTATAGTCAGGTACGCCTCAGGTACGGAGAAAGGGGATGTGCAAACAGACTTCAAGGGAATAAAAATCGGTCTCTATAAAATAATTAGTGTAGACATGTCTGCATTGGGGCTGGAGAGATGGCTCAGCGGTTAAGAGCACCGACTGCTCTTGCAGAGGACCCAGGTTCGATTCCCAGCACCCACATGGTGGCTACAAATCGTCCTTAACTCCAGTTCCAGGGGAATCTGAAGCCCTCTTCTGACCTCTGCAGCATTGCATGACACAGGTGCACTCATGTACATGCAGGCGATACACTCATACATATAAAATAAAAATAATAAAATTAAAAAAAAAGAAATGTCTGCATTGGCACTTCAAGAACCAGAGGTAGAAATAAGCTAGCTGTGAAAAGTCTGAGGAAGAGAGAATCATTTTAAGTAAAAAACCCAGCAATTAACACACACACACACACACACACACACACACACACACACACACATAAAATTATATGCAACATTAGAGTTTGGGGCACTAAATGTAAGAGTTAAAAAGGGGTCTCCACAGCTGAAGGATAGGGTGTATGACAAACACGTGCTAATGAAACTGGGAAACTTGCAGTTGGGAAGCCCCGGCTGTCTCACACTAAAGGTGCAACACTCTATCCTGAAGCTCTTAAGGAGGCCTTTGAAGCCCCCTTGACAGCAGTAAGGAGGTACCACTGAGGCAGGAGCAATGGAGCTTGACTACAGATAGGAAGAAAAGATTGGAATCTCCTGCAGGAAAATCAGGTCCCTCCTAACAGGCAAAGAGAGAGTGAACTGTTGGGATATAGGAGAGTAGTTGGAGCTGAGAACCCTGAGGGATGGGTAGGCAGGATAAAGAGGATTGGGGTGGCTGAACAGACTCTGGAATTAGGAGAGAAGGCATGTGATTGGCTGTGCTTCCAACTGGCTGTGCCTCCAGGCTTTCTGACTGGCTCATTTGGAGGAAGCCAGTCTAGAAGGAGGCCAGCCACTTTGAGTAAACTTCATTTAATTGGGAGCATGGCTTTCTTGAGTTGTCTGTAAAGTTTAGTTCAAGTGGAGAAATGTTCCTACCATATGCCAAATAAGACCTGGTGCTAATCTTGGATAATGAATATTACAGGCAAGGTAGATATATAGCAAGTAACTTTCATTAACTGTGGAAAATTCTTCCAAACAATTGTGCCTGGGTGGCATGGAAGGTACAGCGTAAGCTCAGCTGTAAGGGAAGTAAGGATTCAAAGACAGAGATGAGGGTGATCTTTTAAGATATAAGCAAATCAGAACAAGAAGTAGAATGAAATACATCAAGGAGCGGACAGCAGGAGTAAGGAGATGGCTATAAAAACACCGAGGCTTGAAAGTCATTTTCATTGACACATGAAAGGGAAGGCCAAGACTAGATCATGAAAAACCAGCATATGTCATCCTCAGTAGCACAGATCTTACGTGCATCATGAAAGGCCGGGGAAGGCTTTCTCTCTGAGAAATGGGATCAGCAAATCTTGCTAAACAAGTGCAATGTAAGTGGAAATGGGGAAGAACTAAAATGAAGGAGGGCAGTGAGAAGAAATGGGAGCACAGATAGACACCGGCATGTGGGTTTGAAGAGGACACAGAGATGTGCTAGGAATGGCAGAAACTTGTGTCTGGAAAACTTGGTGAAGTCAACGAACTGAGAAGCTGAACATGCCCTGATGGCTCGGTCTTGGGGAAGAGAGAGAGAGAGAGAGAGAGAGAGAGAGAGAGAGAGAGAGAGATTGACCTCGAACTCACAGAAATCTGCCTGTCTCTGCCTCCCAAATGCTAGGATTAAAGGAAGAGAGAGAGAGAGAGAGAGAGAGAGAGAGAGAGAGAGAGAGAGAGAAAATGAATGAGAATATGCATCGGTTTCATGCTGAAGTACATCTAGATACCTCCAGTAGTTCTCGTATCAGTCTGAATGACAGGGAGGGAGCCCTGATGAAAAATGACAGACACACAGGTATTAAATATCAGCAAAATAATAATTGAAATTATAACTAAATTTTTGCAGGTACCAACTAAAGAACACTTTGCATTCATTTACACATGATCACTACTAACAGCCACGGCAACAGTGGATGTGAGCTTCACCCTTACAGAAGTGATTAAAAAAAACAAGAAGACAGCCATGCAGTTTATCCAGTTGTCTGATTAGTGAAAGTGAGTGTAAACGGAGATTCCAGTTCAGGTTAGTCTAGACATTCAAAACCAGATTTTCTTTGTCTTTTTCTCTTTTTTTCTGGTATTTAGATGCAATTTTTCTTTGAGATTATAAACAACAAAGATTGTAAAAGAGAGAGGTTGCAAAAAGAACAAAAAGATAAGAATGTCACCTTTGGGAAACTCATATCTAAAGGATAAATGTGGGAGTAAAATATTTGTCCAGAAGAGTTTTAAGCAAAATGTTTAGAGGCTTTTATAAAAAGGTGAAAAGAAAATATTAGCAAGCAGCAAGTGTCCTACAGTGTAGCTAGCCAAGGGGTGCAGGACAAGGGCTGATGTCACCCCTTTGGCTTTGTGAAAAATCAGGATGTGAAGAGCCTGTCAGAGCAATCTCACTGTAATAACAAGTGTCACAGAGTAAACTGGCAATTCATAAGGATGCAAGGAACTGGAACCACTGCATAGGCTATTTTGAGAAAATTGATCAAGAAGAGAAGGAAAAAGATCAGATACCAATTATAGTGGTTAAAAGAAGAAAGCTGAGCCGAGACAATTTATTATTTATTCACTTGTTCGTTTATTCATTTGGATAGGGTCCTATTTAAGCATATTTTTTAAGCTAAGAGAAATATGAGGCTAAAATCATTTGAGTACAAGTATTCTTATTATCTGAAACCAGCCTGAAAGGTTTAGGGGATCTTATTGGATGCACCCCTTAAGTAGTCTGCGGCTCTGTCTTGACTCTCCTCCTCTTGTGAATCTTTCTTTGTATCTTCTGCTGATAAAACTTTCTCAAGGTATCTTTCTTATCTTTACCATCTGGCAAAAGATTTAGAGGAACATGGATCTGCCTAATGGATTTTATTTATTAGTTTGCTTTTGAGACAAGGTTTCATGTAGCCTAGGTCAGCTCCAGACTTACTATGTAGCCAAGGATGACCTGGAACTTCTGATCCTACTACTTCTATCTTACCAGTGTTCGGATTATAAGCACGTACAACAAATCTGGTTTATGTAGTGTTGAGGATCAAACCCAGGGCTTTGTGCATGCAAGGCCAAGTACTCTACCAAGTAAGCTATATCCCCAGCCCAACTAATCTTTTTTCTACTTGCTTTTGTATCAAAAACATTTAAGAAGAGAGTTTAGTTGAGTGAATGAATATATGCAGTATTAGCCTTTGATGAACTATTAAATGGAACAAAATACTATGTATGTTCATTTTTCTTAAAATAAACCTGAAACTTGGCACACTGGGCAAAAAGTATTTTGACCACCTCTCAAACGAACAATTTTAGATTTTTTTTGTAGAAATGAAATAGCACTATCAAACTATTGGCAGTCAAGTCATTTTCCCAAATCCCCATGCCAAGCGCATGGCAGACATCCATTTAGCATTGATGTAGAACAAAAGGGGCCTGAGACACCATCTCATGATTATAGAATTTCAGAGTCAGAGACATTTGGAAGGGGAAAGTTTAGCATCCCTGGCCACATCACAGCCAAGCCATGTATGTGCATTGACCTTCCAGTCTTCCCTGCCGGGACCCAGCCAGTCCGTCTTTATTTACCATCCCCTCTGGATTTCTGATGCATTCTGGCTTGCTCAAAATCGAATCCTTGGGCTGAGGAGATGGCTCAGTTGGTAAAGTGCTTGTCACATAAGTATACTTTCCTGAGTTTGATTCTGTGGAATTTACAAATAATTATAATAATTAGAAACTTAAAAACATGGGCACAGCAGCACATGGCTATAATCCCAGGGTTGGGTAGGTGGAGGCAGGAGGATCCTCTGGGCTACCTGGCCAGCCAGGCCAGCAGAAGTAGTGAGCTCCATGTTCAGTGAGAGACACATCCACAAAAAAACAATGTGGCCAGGTGTGGTAGCACACACCTTTAATCCCAGCACTTGGGAGACAGGTAGCTGAATCTCTGAGAGACTGAGCTACCCTACATAGAGTTTCAGGCCAGTTGGGGCTACAAGGAGACTCTTTTCTCAAAATAATAATAATAATAATAATAATAATAATAATAATAATATGGAGAGTAATTGAGGAAGATACTTAACACTGACCTCTGGCCTCCACATGTGCACACACATGAACACATGCACACACATACACACACACACACACACACATAAAACAAAAAAATCAATAACACCAAAACACCCCCAAAACCCTGAACATCTCAGGGTTTTGTTAATTTAGAGTCTCCCAGTCCCTTTTCTATGTACCTGAAAACTAAGACTTTTGTTCTTCTTCTTCTGTTCCATCTCAGAGTTTGCAGGAGTGATCATCTCAAAGAAATTAAAGGAAAAAGAAAGAAATCTACCCTTTGAGAAAAAGCCACACCTCTCTCTTTTCAGACACACCTTATAGTAGATTTTTCACTTCGATCCTTAGGCTTTACAATATCCTCTGATTATTCACAACATCAAGCTCCTTAATGAGAAATGTATTGGATTGATCCATAGCTTAAAAAATATACCTGAGCACTTTCAGGACTGTAGAAGACTCTGGAAATCACATCTTCACGTTCTCTAGCTCATAGAATCCACAGACCTGTGGTGAGGACGATAGAGGAAATACTTGATTGGCTCCTCATGTTAAACTCCGTGTAACACGGATGGAGGGGAGATTTTAAGCTTTAATGTTATTGTAAATTTTCCAGTAATCTAAATCTCTGAATTGCAAATACTGGAAACCCATTCTGCCTTCCTGCTTCACACTGACAGCAACACTTAGCCTGCCCACATCTGAGACCTTGTGGCTTTTGATTCATTCTGCTGTGAATGCCTCCTCTTTTGTTTTCTCAAAATGTAAATATTTGTTCTGTCTGCATCCTAATTGCTAGTCTTGGTGTCTTATTGACTACGAGGGTTGTGGTAACGTGGATGCCTCAGGATTCCTGTTATGTGCTAGAATTTCATGTCTTATGACATTAGCTTGGCATAGCTGACAGCCACCCTGTTCTTATGCCCCTGACTAACCTGCAGTTATGTCTATAATTGAAACCCACTATTATTTGATTCTTTTCTACACAGAGGAAACCCAGAGCTATCATTCTGTACACACACCAAACCACAGGAGCCTGGGTGAGGGTCTGTAATGACAGGGGCCCCTCCTACACAGCACATTTGCAAGCTTTGTACTAATTACTTTAATTCTCTTTGTCTAGACTAACTTATTGCATTTGAAGTGTTGCTTTTCTAAGGGTAGGGGGGATCATTAGTCCTTCAATTCCTGACAGATGAGGAGGGGTGAGAAACGCAAACAGAACCAAGAAAGTCAGTGAAACTGAGTTAGCTGATTTGTCCATGAATGGGCTGTTTCCCGAAGCACATGTTGGCTTCAAGTTGCCCCATCAGGAAGCTATGGTCGAGAACGGCCAGAGTATCTAGCATTAACAGACAAGAGAAAAGGGATTCTCCCACATAGATAGGTAGTAAGAAGGGGACACCACTCTCTGCCTGCTGCATTGTAGATGTTCATGGCTACTGATGGGGCAGAACTCCTGTTTGTCACTTTTGTGGCAAGGTCCTAGTTAGGCTTTCCAAATTGAATGAATGAATGAATGAATGAATGAACGAACAAATAAATAAATCAGATAGACAAACAAGAACAGGACTTGTGTGGAATCCCCTTCTTGTCTCACGTGTGTGGTGAGCTCCAGGGGAAATTTAATACCTCAGCCATAAACCCTTTTGAAACTTTCCTTGATAAAAGGAAATTGAACAAGTACAGGCTGGCCCTTCATCCTTTCTAAAAGCCTGAAAGGGATGGAGACGATTTGGAACAGCCTGGCTTGAGGACTCAGGAGATGAACTTGAAGGGGCCTGAGATGGACACAGTGGACAGAAAGGCCTCAGGGCAAGGCTGGTCCTCCTCAGTTGGCACCATCTCTTAGGTTTAACATGCCAAAATCTTGGGAACATTGGGTGTGGCCAGAGCCCTGAAAGGGCTTGTCCTGGGGGATGTTCTGGTTAGCCAAATCCTCCAGGGCCTGAGACTGCTCACGTCCCACTGTAGTTGTGTCCCCTCCACCACTTGCATGCTCAAGGACAGATTGGTTTCCCAAGATGTGATGGTGCCTCTCACTTCACCCTTGTGTTTCCTCAATGACGCTTCTCTTCAAAGATCTATTTTCAGTTAGATTGAACTCTTGGTGGCCCAAAGTTTCTAAGACTTTTTTATTCAAGGTATTTATTTATTATTCTTAACATATTGTGCATGGTAAGGATTATTTTTCTTTTTGAAGTAAAGATTCAAACCTCAAAGCTGGGTCGAATTGAAGAGCTCACACAGTTTGTTCCGGAGGAGTTTTTAAAAATTATTTTACATTTACTTTTCGTTTGTTTGTTTATTGGGGTGCATGCATGCCATGGGATTTGTATGGAGGTCAGAAGATGACTTACAGGAGTCAGTTTTCTCCTTCCACTATGTAGGTTCCAGATATTAGACTCAGGTTGTCAGGCCTGGGTCAGGCACCCCCACCTTCGGAGCCATCTCCCTGGCTCTGTTCTGGTGCTTTGTTTTGCTGTATGTGTGATTTGCTTTTGTTTTTGTTTTGAGGTAGGGTCTCACAACACTGTCCAGGAAACTCCTGTTAGAAAACATTCCTCCTGCCTCAGCCCATCTGAGTAGCTAGGATGACAGCTATGTGCCACCGTTCCTGGCTTTGATGCTGTGTGCTTTCTCTAGAAGGATAAGGAGATGGCTTGGGTTTTCCTAAATCTTCCTAAGTCTGAGGGAGCTGTTGAAATAAAAGCTATATGGCCCCATGAGCTATCTAGGCCCCACATCTGTTCTGTGCCTTTGTTCTAGGTTAGGCAGTCACACAGCTGTCTAACAGTTACTGCTGCCTTTGCCCTCATCCTTATTCCCCACATCTCTGCTCCTTCTCTGGGAAAGGTAATTGTGTATTGATTAGCTCCCTGGTTTTCATCTGGGCACGATTTTCCCTCCATTTGCAAGTGTTTTCAGTTGTCATGACTGGAAGTACTCCTACTCAAGTGTAGCAGGCGGAAGAGAAGGAAGCTGCAAAACGCACTGCAACACACCAGACAGGTCTCCACGGCCGTAATCACTCACAAGAACAGCATTCTCCCTTGCCAACAGTACCAAGCCGAGGAATCACAGATTTGACCCATCTACCACCCAGTCACATCTCTGCAGATGTGTAGAGTTCAGAGCTACTTCTAACCACTCCACAGCAATTTATAAGGAGTTAATGAATTTTTTCTTAGGATACCAGATCATTCTTTAGACTCTTTTCCACTCAGATTTGACAGACTTGGAATCCTTTGATGGTTGGCATAATATTATAAACCAAGTTAGTCTGCCATCAAACTTTACTTATGTTTCCTATTTGGGGCAAGAACATTTTGGGGCATAAGAGTTTTTAAAAAAAATATTTCTATGTAAGTTAAAGCATCCTATTCTATTGAAGTTTGTCTCAAAATTATTTATTATCTCTGGTAGAGAAAAATATTTTTCACTCTTACAGATTCTGTGAGATCCACCGTTTTGGTGTGGCTGCCTACTTTTCTTCCCCTATGGGTCCCCAGGTTCCAGGGAAAAGGCAGTCTCCCTGTGAAGTCTCACAAGACACTAGGCCACATTCCTTTTATTTTCAGACACATTTTATTTTTTTAAATTCTGTTTATTATTATCATTATTTTGTTTGTTTTTGATTTTATTCTTTTGAGACAGGGTCTCTCTGTAGCTCCAGCTTGCTTAGAACTCACTTCGTAGACCAGGCTGATCTTGATCTCACAGAGATCCACCTGTCACTGCCTCTCAAGTGCTGGGATTCTATTATTACTATTATTATTATTAGTAGTAGTACTAGTAGTAGTACTAGTAGTGGTAGTAGTAGTGGTAGTAGTAGTAGTGTGAGTACACAGGTCCCACCACCCACTTGTGGAGATCAGAGGACAACTTGAGAATTTGGTTATCGCTTTCCACCATATGGGTTCTGAGGATGGAACTCAGTCATCAGGCTTAGAGGCAAGTGCTCTTACCCACTGAGCCCTCTTGCTGGCCCCATGAATTACTTCAGGTTACATCCAGGCTTTTCACCTTGGAATTCTTCTACAGCCCAAGAGAGTGAGCAGAACAAGTGCAGCACTCAATATGCCACCTAACGAATCCAGCAGCTAGCACCGAAAATTCACGTCAGGGTTGGGAACCAGGCACACCTTTAAAAAACACATGGCACAAGCACAAAATATATCAGAGGCAACTTACTATGATGAATCCACCCTTACATTGGTCTTTCATAGGAATTGCTGTGTAATCACATTTCAAAGGTGGTTGATAGGCTGAACATTGTTTCTGAAACTTAATATCTAAGGGAAATACCATATATAATGTAAAAGGACTATAATCTGAGAGCTATATTATTGCTTTTTGATGGAAACAAGACTGGAACTGAAGGTGATTCATATATTCAAAATGATCCTACTGTGACTTGAAATAGTCAGTTGCTAAGCTCTGTCAGGGCCGTGTGGTTTCTGTTATTATAATGGAGATGATTACACTCCTTTATTTTCACCATCAAAGTTTCAAATACGAGCTTCTAGCATCCTAAAAGCTCCATATACTTTCTTCTCTGAACAGTCAGTACCCTGTGATGTGATTTACATACATGTATGCACAGCTAAACTTTGAGAAAGCTTGGTTTCTTGCCAATCCTCTCAAGCCTCTGAAAAGTTGTACAATTCTGAGAATTCCAAATTAGTGTCACCCACACTGATTAATTTTACAGAAGAAAATAAGATTATAAGCTACATATCCACTATCACATGACTGCTTTGCATAAAGCTTAACAGAAAAACAGAGCTATCTAATAAACCAAGTAATGTGTATAAACTAGTTAGTGCTTTAAACCACAGTAAACATTGTAGAATACAGAACTGGCCACTTAACAGCTATTAATTTTCTCTGCAATTCCTTCACAAATGCCTCCAGTTCTCTCAACAGAATTTTGCCTATTCATTTTAGTTAGGCATATGTGTGTGTTACAACTCCAGTCACACCCGGCTCTATGCGACAGGAGCACGCATGTGACATTCCAAGTCTTTTGCTCCTCAAGGACATGGTATTATTTTACTTATGTTGGCCTCTCTCACCATACCCGTGTGATAGAGTTTTCCACATAATCGTCTACTTAAAAGTCATTGTTAGATTGAACTAAATTCAGTAGAGATGAACTATGGAAAAACTTGTAAAGTATACTGCTTTTTTCCTATTTCCAAGTATGCATTTATATTTTTTGATGAATCTTTGTGATTTTCATACATTATAGTTTGATGATATTTAGGTCCCATCCCCATCTGCACCTTCCCCACTGCCCCCATCCAATTTACTCTCAAATATGTATTTATATATATAGTATATATATCTATGCTGTATCTATGTATATATTACATATACACACATATAACAAAACCTTTAGAGTCTTTTTGTCCCCAAATGTCCTTCAGTGTGAATCCATCCACTGCTCCCACCAAGAGTCCCATCCTTGTAAGACACTGTCTTTCTGCCTCTTAGCAGCCATC